TGAGTTCTCCTCTTGAGTGTGTCACTCATGGATATGGTAGGTTTATAATCTAGAGTGGTTGAAGATCACCACTGGGTGCACTGTCTCTGGGACCTCCTGGGAAGTGCAAAGTCAGCCTGTGCCAGTGCCTTGCCCAGGGTCACCCAGCATGAGCTACACAGCAATCTGTAGATGGCTGCTACTTGTACTGGGTTTGGAGGTGTCCAAGAGAGGCCGAGCTATGAACCAATGCAGGCTGCCGCTTATCGAGAGGTATGGAGCATGCTAAGGTCAGCTGCTGCTTGTTGGAGAGATTTTAAGAAAGTCCTAAGCATGAGGCTAGAAGGGCTACTTGCATAGAAAAGCCACTGAAAATGGCTTGAGTGGACTTGCAAATAGGGAGGGGCAGGGTCTCCGGGAATCACTAGGGTGGGTGAAAGGTGTGAGTCAGGTTGATGGAGATTCAGAGAAGGCACCTGCCTGCCAGCTCTGTGGGGAGAGGGCTCATCAGAAGAGCAATGGCCTCTGACAGCCTTCCGTCTGGGAGAAAGTTGCCCCTCCAGCTCTGGTCCTGATTCCAGGCAAAGTTAGTTCCTCCCTGAATGTCCCAGGTTCCTTTCAAGCTGCTGCCCAGCACTGGAGTTCAGAGGGAGTATGTCTGAGTAAGTCTGTGTGCTGGCTCTCTAAGAGGAACTGCCTAAGACTTCTGCAGCCTCCGTGTCACTCAGCCATGATCCCCGCTGCTTTTTACAGCCTGAAGTTGTGGGGACTTCTCTCACTGGCATTGGGACCCTGGGCTGTGGGGGCTTGATGTGGACTGGGACCCTTTGCTCCTCCGGGAAACCTCCACAGCTGAGCTATCCCTCCTGGTTTTAAACCAGGGCATCTAGGTATACGCCCATGGCTGTGTCTCCATGATTCAGCCCAGATTGCACCTCTAGTCTCCACCTCTCCTACCGGTCTCGATGTGCTTCTTCAGTCCCTAGTTGTAGGACTTCTGTTCAGCTATATTTCAGGAGGTCCTGAATGATGGTTGTTCTGTATTTTAGTTGTAATTTTGATTTGGTTGTGGAAGGCAGTGGGTACTGCAGTTAACTGCACAGCCACTTTGTTGTCTTCTCTTACTATGATTTTTTATGTGGGTAGTCTGTCTGTGCTCCATAGAGTTTCTGAAGCTTCTTTATTGTATTCTGGAGCACTCTCAGAACTATTCCACTTGGCATGTGGTTGCTTATTTGTTGTTTTTGTAAGAGAGAAGATAAGCATTGAGACCTCCTAGTCTCCCATCTTGCTGATGTCACTATGAAAAATTAATTTTCTATACAAAATTTTTAAAAGTTGTTTAATTAGTTTGCTTTAAATACTTCCAGTGAGCCCTGACCTTTGTGCCTCAACTGGTTGGAATGTCATCCCAAAGTGTGGTGGGTTTGATTCCTGGCCGGAGCACATACCCAGGTTGCAGGTTTGATCCCTTTTGGGGCATGTGTGGTAGGCAACAGATGGATATTTCTCTCTCACATTGATGTTTCTCTCTCTCTCTCTCCCCCTTTCTCTCTCTAAAATCAATTTCAAAATTTTTTAAAATAATAGGTAAGTAAATAAATACTTCCAATGACATGGAGCTTTGTACCTCAAAGGCAGCTGATACCATTCTTGCAGCTCACACTGAATGTTAGAAAGTTATTCTACTAGCCCAAAGACTAAGAAAAAACTTTCTAAAATTTAGAGCTTTAGGAACATTGAATAGAGTTTTTTGCAAAAAAAACTTACTTCCCCATTTTTGAAAGAATTCAAATAAAGGCTACATGACTTGATCTAAGGATGTTTAAAAGTCTAGAATGTGTAGTCTAGATGACTTTTAAGGTCTATTCCTGTTCCCACAGTTAATGCTTCCATGATAATTCATTATTAGAAAGAGCTAACCTTTTAATTTAGTTTTCCATGCAGCTCCTTATTTCCAATTTTTTTCCTTTTATTCTTTTTTTATGTCTCCCACGCTCAAAACTTTCATTTGCTTGTGGCTTTTCTCTCTCCTTTGCCTCTCATATATTTAAGTTTGCCCCCTACCCCAACTCGGTATCTGCTATTCACCTTCCCTTTCTATCCTCATTCTGGGGCTTAACTTTGTCTTGCTTACATTAATCTACAGCCTCCTCTATGATCTTTTGGTCTCTAGTTTATCTCTTGTCTAATCCAGCTTGTATTCCTAAAGTATCTCTATGATAAACTATCTTCTCTTTCTAATCCATCCTTAAACTGAACTTTGATCATGTTGCAACTCTTCCCCACTCTTTATCCTGACATTGATAATCTTTCATAATCAAGTTCAACTTACTTCTTCAGACACACTTCTTAAACTCACTTTCCCAAACTCTTCTGGACAAATAGAGTCCCTTTTTCACCCTATTCCAAAAAGGTTCTGTTTTTCTATTACTCAGCTCATGACTTCTGCCTGTTCCTAATCCCCTGCTACCAATAAAATCCTATTCATCTTTCAAGCCCAGTCTCAAATTTCTCCTCTATAAACTCTTCCCAGAGGACTCCAACACATATTTATGTCTTCCTCCCTTGAACTCCCATACCACTTTAATGTCTGTTTTATTCATCTGGCAATCAGTCATGCACTGCCTTGTAACATCTCTGAAAATTGTTATTTATCTTGAATACTGTCACTTAACTATTTATTTGTGTACATTTTGTCTCCTCAACTGCCTAAAAAGGCCACTGAGGCCAGGATCAGCAACACCTTTTTTCAACTCTCTATAGAACAAAACTGGTCACCTAGTAGGAACTCACTCCTTAATGTGTACTGACTAGTTTCCAATAAGTTCTCCAATTACTTTGTAGTGACTTTAATATACCACTAAGTTAATTATTAATCTTTCTTCACCCCAAGTCAGGTATTGGTGGTGACAGAAGATAGAATAGACCATTGGAGATGAACTTTATGTGAGAGAAAGCATATTTGACTCTTTAAGCCTCAAGCAAGATGAACTGCTAAGATGCTGGTGGTGAGACATTTTACTTTCAGCTAAAAGTGTTCCTTAATAGATTCAGGTCTCTAGAGCAGCTCTACAGAAGTTGTGATTACACTCTGAAACTCAACTTTTTCAAGAGAGCAAACTGTCAAATTATTATTTTTTTCCTTTTTAGTTTGGGCAGGGTAGTTAACACTAAGGTGTTTAATTCAATTGCGTCAGGAATTACAGATCAGTTCTCTTATGGCTTTCTGTAGAAGTTTCTGCATTCCCAGACTAATAATTAAAATTCAAAATATCCCATGTGGCCTTTTTTGCCAAATTGAAAATGTGTGATTCATGAAAAGTGCTCCAGTTTGGATAGAGATAAGCTGAGGGAAGGAAAGGGATTGGTCCACAGGAGGGAGGGTAGGAGAGGAGCATGGAAATCACAACTCTTTGTGGCTACCTCTAATGCTGTGCCATAGTGGCCTCATTGTGGGTGGACAGGAGGGACAGGATGTGCTTATCCACCAGGAAAGGAAGAAGAAAATAACAAAGGAGTGAAATGTTGAGTGCTAAGTCATGCAAAGACCATCTTCAGATTCTAAGCAAAGAATCTCTCAATTAAGCATATGCAGTGTGGTCCTGAGAGAGGCCTTAATGATATGTGGAGAGGTACCGAGACCCCACTTCAGTGGACTTGTGATGTACTCATAGCTATTATTAGCAGAATGTACAATTATGACACTAAATGGTCAAAAGCCTGAGAAACCCTAGGGGGTGAGAACAGATGTTTTTTTCTCCATGGCACTGATTTTACTTCTAAACCCATTATTACCAAGCCACTATCTACACTGCTTTGTTACAAATGCTTATAACAATCATCTACCCTTTGCTAGTTATTTAAGACATCAGGATTTTTTTAAGGGTAGATTCATTTCCTCCTTTATCTCCAAGAGCTTCAGAGCAGAACTTTGCTTTAAGATGAACCATGTATCAATCCCTTTCTAAACTTTGGCTTCAAGATTAACCTCAGATTCATTTATTCATTCAACAAATGTTTATTGAGCTTCTGCTATGTGCCAGACACTGTTCTAAGTAAATAAATGACAAAAATCGCTCCTCCTTTAAACTTACATAGCCTCTGACTGTGATAGGTCTGCAGAATAGTGGGCTGAAGGCATAGCCCAGAGTTTGAATGGTGGCACCATTTGTGGCAGGGAGCAGTGACCAGGAGTTTGCTATTGCTAAGGAGAAAAATAACCCTGCTAAGCTTTCAAGAGGACAACTCTTTGCTCGTCCCTCTACATTTTTTTCCTGGTAGACAATTATAAACAGAAAGGTAGAATCACATAGTGGTTAAGGATATAGGCTTTGCTACTAAGTAGTTATTTAATTTTGGTCTGGTTCCTTTTCCTTTGTGAGTCTCAGTTTCCTTAGCTGTTTCTGTAGTTACTCAGCAGATCCAAGTCAAGACTGCTGATTTCAGCTTTGTTAACATAAGAATATCTAAATTAGCCTTACCAGCATGACTCAGCAGTTGAGCATCAACCTATGATCCCGGAGATTGTGGTTTGATTCCCAGTCAGGGCACATGCCTGGGTTGCGTGCTCAACCCCTGGTGGGAGATGTGCAGGAGGCAGCCAACCAGTGACTCTCTCTCATTGATGTTTCTATCTCTCTCTCTACTTCTCCCTTCCTCTCTCTGAAATCAATAAAGACATATTTAAAGACCAAAAAAAAAAAAAAAGAATATCTAAATTAGCTGCTCACATACATCTTGAGCACCTCATCCACTGGGCATATAGTGACATCTACATATTAAATGGATGTGGACAGAGGTATCTAAACCACATACTTTCCAAGATCTGAGTCTAAGTGAATCATTCTTATTTATAAATAGTTTTAAATAAGTTTCCTAATGATATTCATGTATAATTCCTGACCAGATGGTCTCTGCTTCCATCTTATTATTTCCCTGTTTGAAAGATGGCTTAACTAATGGAGTCAACTATGTGTTTATGCTTGAGAGTTATGTGGATTCTCTACTATTTCCCTTACCTTACGAATTTCTCCTTGTTGAACAGTTTTTATAACGTTAATCCATTCTTCCATGTCTTTCCGGTTGGGTGCAACCAAGGTAAGTTTCTGTTGTGGTGTGATTACCTAAACAAAAAGTCACATTATTAGATGGTTCCCACTTCACACATTTGTCCCCAAACAGAGCCTGTGAATTTTCCAAGGATCTGGACAAGTCTACCAAGCACAACCCAAGAGACTTTTTAAATAGAAGACAGATATTCCCAGGGTCACTTGCAGCTCCCTAGATACCCACCACAAATAATAGTATAATAATAATAATAATAAAAATAATAAATTAGTAATAATAGTAATAAATAACATTTTAATGGCATTTACTATGTTCCAGACACTGTTCTGTTGCAACTTATGTATATTATTTCAATCTTCATTACAACACCATGCTATAGGGACTTTTCTCACTTCATAGTCAGGAAAACCAAGGCAAAGGGAATTAAATGGCTTGCCCAGGGTCACCTAGTAGGCAAAAAGCTAAAAGAGAATTGAAATCCAGATTCTTTGGCTCTGGAACACATGCTTTTAAACCTCAAGCGAGGTTGCCTGAAAATCCTACTCACTTACTGCTGCTCTGTCTACTTGAAAATAGTAAAAGGGTATATGGTTCCTCAGAGTATGCCCCTTTCTGTTTGGGGGGAGAGTGAGAATGGAGAAATCTGAAAATCTAGTTTATTTCTTTCTTATGGTCAAGAACAACCTGAAGAGAATTTTACTGTTGTCTCTCTTAATCCTGCTTATTGCAAGAACCCAGGCAAGAATGAAAAACCATGCTGAAGGTTAGGAGAGGTAGACCATGGCCATGATATGGTCTTTTGCCAGAAAGCAGGAGGGAACATGGATAGAAATAGCATCAGTCATTACTTCAATGGCCTTACTTGCCTTTACTACTAGCCCCCAAAATCTTGGAACTAGAGCTTACCATACCAACAAGCAATTTCTTTTTCCTTCTGTGAAAGATGGGAAAAAGAACTAGTGGGAACTGTGATAACAATTCATTTGGTCCAAACTCATTCTTGTATGAACAGTGTCTCTGTGTTTCAATTAATCTAAGGGGCAACCTAGCCTTTGGGAATTCTTTGTAAAGTGGAGACCCAAAACATCAGCCTGTATGATCATTGGCCAAAGGCTAAGCTTTTAGGGAATAGGTCAACAGAATCCTCAGCTTTACCCTGGGTCAGTGTGATGTAATGAAAGAAATGAGAGTAGGGCCTCCTCTTATATCCAGCTGCTCTCCATTCAAAGGAGAATGGAATGTGGGCCAGTCACAGAAGCAGGATATTGGGCCTGTAGCTCTTTAGTCTGCTGAGTTTAACCCTCCACTTGCCTGAAGAGGAAACCCAGTCTCCATAATTCAACACCAAGGCTGGGAGAAGACAGTTCTGGGAAAATTCCTGAGCTAATGGACTTGCTATTTTTCAGTGAGCTTTCTGGTCTGGATTAACTTGAATGACTAAATCTCTATGAAATTTCAGCAGTGCCAAGCCCTTGAATATTTCCTTAGAAAATCCTCTTTTTTCTTTGAGGTACTTTCATTAGTAATCTGAACATAAGGTAGCTTTCACTTTGGGTTTAGGCTCTTGTCTGCTTCATCAAAAGAGGATATCATGTAGCTTGATTATCCTGATATTTTCTACAACATATTAGCAGTCTCTTGAAAGCCTCCCAGTGATACTCTAAATCACCTTCATCAGGATGATTGATTTTTATAATAGTCATTCCCCCCACCCTGAAATCAGCTTGGCTTTATCACAGACTGGTAATAGGGAAGAGAACCATTGCTTTTTTCCTCCTATGGTGGAATGGTCAAAGTGTTTACATGAATAAGCTTCAGCACCCATTTGCAATGCTACTTTAAGTGGATTTCCATACACATTTAGGATCAAAGAAGACTTGGGGAATCTGAACTCCAAAAAGGCAATAAGTGGATGTGGCAAACCCTCTTCCCAGCTAGCTCCCACCCCTGCCCATTCAGTCATTCACAACCTTACTTACACAAAAACTGTGGCAAAGGTTTCTACAGCTAGTTTCTGCCAAGACGACTTGAGACAGATCAATTGTTTCAAAGTGTGCAAACTGGAAAGATACGAGGGAGAAGGAAAAGGAACCATCTGGTTAATGAGGCAAAAACACACTAAAAAGCAAACACACATGCACATTCACATGCACACTAATAGGCATTTTTGGCAGTCATGATTCAATCATTACTCTGGTTTGAGTGCTGGGATTTATTTAGCATCATGATTTTTGTTGATATAACATGTGATAAACAAAAAACAAACCAAACTAAACCAAAACAACTTTTCCCAAAACTTTGATGTGATTTTATAGGAAGGCCTGGGTAATTCAGAATTATTCAAAACTAAAGGTTTATGTTAGAGAAGATAATGTGATGTGGTCTAGCTAGGGACCTAGTGGAGCAGATAGGAGCTACTAGCTTCAATTTTATCAGCCAGAAGCCTTTGACTATGTTGCTAGTCCCATCCAGTTTTAAGCCTGTGTCTTGTTATACACTGGTTATAGTAGGTGACATCCAGCCGGCAACAGGAAATCAGTACTATGGATACAGACAGGACTGGCTTCAGTGGTTTGCAATCTGGGCAGTCGTAGAAGGCCTCATGTTCAGAAGGGTCCCATACTTGATTTAATGCTTTGCTGTTGCAGTCTTGAAATTCTTGATAAGTTTACCATTGAACTTATGTTTTATAAGTGAAGTCCAGTGGGGCTATGGGTCATGAATATGAGCAGAGGAGATATGCACAATATGCATGTCCACCCCATATCTTGTCACTCCATTTGCATTCGTAATACCCATGAGCATAGAATTCCAGTGGACCCATGATGTTTGGGAGTTCAGTGAGACTCAAAACAGTATAAGGTAAGCATGTTACATCTATGACTAAGTAGGGGAGCTGATAGCCCTGAGAGGCCACACATTCTGTTGGAATTTGAACTCATTTCAAACACAGCAGTGGTGTTCTAGGAAACATGAACAGCCAAGAAACCTTATTGTATTCTTTCTTGCTCATATTACTTCCCTGTATTAGGCAATCATTTATGTTGAAAATTATAATATTGAAGGAAGGGAAAGATAGGGAAACCCCAAATTCCTTTTCCTTTTAGTTAGAGAATGTTGGTAGAACGTATAAGTGTCAAGATGTATGTGTATGAGCCACCAAATGCAAATTATATAATTTTGGTGGTTCTTCATGAGTTAAATGCTTTTCTATTTGCTTTTAAAACTGGCATTGTACATCATACAGATGGAAGGGAAAATTGTTAATAATTTAAAATTTTATTTTTTCTTTACTTAGAACATATTTAATAACAAATCAAAGATGCCTTGACAAATCATTGCTTTATATTTTAGTATCTTTACTGGCATTTCTCTTTACTTTTTAAGTAAGAGGCTCACATTTTTATTTTGTACCAGGGGCCACAAATTACGTAGTTGGTTCTGGGTGTAGAAGAGCTGACTGAGGAATCTATGAAAGGGAAGGGAACTAGGAAAGGGAGGGGAGAGAAAAGTGTCCTCCATTTGGTCCAAAAGTCCAAGTTAAAGGAAAACTAGAAGATTTCAGTTTCTGCCTCAATGTTTGCCAAATGTCTTTAGTTATTAGTCTATTTCCTCATAAGATATTTTCTGGCACCCACACACTAACCCAATTAACAAGATTTATAAATACACACACACACACACACACACACACATACATATATATACATATATATATTCTAGAAGATATATATCCTATATATTCTCTTACCGCAGGATGGTGTGCAAAACAGAGCCTTTGTCCTCGAACCAGAAAATATCTAAGCTTCCATCTTTTGAAGGAGTTACAGCTCTTCAGCAGAGGTCCTTCCTTCAGTATTTTCTGAAAGATAGAAGCATACTGTTGAGTAATTTGTTCAATTTGCAAGACCATATCACTTTTCCTCTCAGTTGAGAAGATCAGATATCTAGAAGGCTCTATCTCTTGTCACATATCTGAGAAAGAACTCAAGGAAGTTAGCTCAATCAGAAAATGCATTGGTTACCTTTGGATAACATATTCAGGATGATATAGGCTATAAGTTTCTTAAGATGTGTGGCCTATGAACTATGGAGAACATCACCATTGGTGGTAGGAGATGAAGAGGAGAGACATTAACATATGACTATGAGAACATGCCTAAGAAGGAAGGGGTAGGGGAAGAGACTGCATTAACTAAAGGCAGATTTTCTAGATGTATCCAGGTTGTAACTCTAGATAGGGCCTTCCTGTCAGCTCTTTTAGAGTGTTCCTTTTAGAATATTAAGTTAGATCACATCCCTTTCCTGCTCACAAACCTCCAATAGCTTCCAAATGTTTTTAGAACCAAATCCAAAGTCTTTACCATGGCCTTCAAAGGATTCATGTCTGGTGAGAGAGCAAAAAGTCACCAAAAAGGAACTGCCTTCCAATTATTTTCTTTACATAACTCATAGTCTGACCCCTAATTTCTTAGTTACTTGTTGAACAGACTGACTCTATCCAAGCATAGAACCTACTTACCATTTTTACCATTGAGCAAGTTCTCAGTTATATTTATAGATACAAGCCAATGTGCAAGACTGCTATTTGGGAAAAGTACTCACACCAAGCTGGAACCAAACCCATGCTGAATGGATGAAGAGCCAGACTTAGTTTAAGTCACCAAATCAAGGCTGTATCATGAATTCCATCTATCACCTAAATTAAAATTCACCATTGAGTGGTTGTGGAAGTGTTTTGTTTGACCCACTTAGTGTTTTTCAAATTTTTAAATTAGTTGATATTATTTAAAAGGCAAAACATTTCATATTAAAATTCTAGCTTCCTGTTTCTTTAAAATAATCAAAATGCCAGATAACCTTGGAACTATATTCTCACATGGCAACAATCTGTCAGAATGGAATAGCAGCTGTGCCCATCAGATGGGGCACCTGACTCCAGCAGGCATTAGAGTTTGGGACCCTGGTCTAAATACTCCTTTGTTACTTCTGTTCTCCCAAATATACACACATCTATTACACTCTATGTTCAATTCTCTAACCAATAAGGTAGTAAGAACTAATGGACAGAACTTCTGTACGTCAACTGAAAAGTCAGTTCATGAGCAATCCATGTTTACCTGAGTCCTCTTGACAACTTATGGGAGTTTCAAGATATTGTATCATCTTTGAGATGCTTATAAAAGAATGATGCCAAGGAGTCAAGACAGAGAACAATAAGATTTTGTGGGAAGGGGAAAGGTGGCAAGGAAAGTGAGAAATTACATTTAAATTGCTGAAACTACGTCATCAATGAGAAAACAAGTCTTGTCTAAACATTGTGATTACATCATTCTCCTTTCTCCGGTCAGGTGGCCTATTAACGGTATATACTCTCAATGATGGTATTTGGTTTTCTCTACCTTAACCTTCTCACCTCTATGCCATTTATTTTTCTATACTAAGTCTTCATGAAATCTAGGCAGTCATAAATATCCCTTTCTGCTAAACACTTAAGTTCAAAATTTTAACTGCTCCAACTTTATACAACTGGAGCCACATCCATTATTTTTGCCTTTTTCCCAAGTTATTCTACTCTGTTAATTACTAAATACTTCTCTTACTATTCTTATTCTACCATATATAGTGTCTAATGTAATAGCTCATTTTACAATTTTTGGCTGGATATTTGTCCCTTCCCTCCATTTTCAGGTTAAAGCCTCCCTCAACTTCAATGGCTTTCTCTTATCCTTGCTGCCATACTTAGCTCTCTTCTCTTCCTGTTCCTTTCAGGGGTAGGATGGTGGAGGGAGGTGGTGATGAGAAAACAAGGAGGGGGATTTTTTCCTCCAGAAGATTTCTAGAACCTTGGGCCCTCTAGTTCCTTCAGAAAATTCCAAGGCACTGATGATTTGACATACTGAATTAAGTAGAAATTAGCCTCCTCCCCCCAGCAACTTCCTTCCATCAACACTTACTAATGATCATTCTTTAATTCTCCTTCCTGGGACTTAAGAAATGTTCTCTTTTTCTTCCCTTACTTGTTCCCTAATGTTAATGACATACTGTTATTCATCCAAAGACACAGCAAAAATAATTAATTAATTTATCTATTAATATGAGGACACAGTAAGTCTTCAAAACCTTCAGTTCTCATCCCATGAATCTAACATTTGTCAAGTCAAGAAAAGAAAAGAAAGACTTTGTGATACATTTATCATTGGGCAGAATGCTTTATTAATATTTTTTGAGCTGCTACTATGGACTCCATCTTTTGCTAGGCCTTTTGGGGCAGTTAAATAAGTTTCGAGCACATTCCCTATCTCAAAGGTATATAAATAGTGGGAATGGAGAGGAAGGGAACAATAATCCATGTAAACAAACACAAAGTTATGTGAACTCAGAGCCATTTGAAAGAGCTTTGGGACTTCATGTTCATTGCCTTAAATGTTTACCTTCTTGTTCAAATGAGGGGTTCCACTCATACACCCTGTCATTGGGTACACCAGCCAAATCACAATAATCTCTTCTCTGTTATGATATTAAATTGGTCACTTTGAATACACTAGCTTTAAGTGCAGGGCTATCTACTTAATGCTGGTTGTTAACAGAAGAGTCAACAAGACCTAGTAGGGGAAGTGAAGAGCCCAAGCTCAGTGGCTACCAAGATTTAGGTGATTGCTATTCAATGCTGACCAGTGTTATCAGCTCATTCCTTTCTTAAAGAGAAGCTGGCAATCCAGGCTAAAATTTGTGTGAAATTTTATCATATTGAAATGTTAGCAACTAATTGAATTTATTAAAAAAATTGTGAGGCCAAAAGAAAACATGTGTTCATGCCAAAGTCAGCCTAGAGGCAACCAGTTTGCAATTTCTAAATTATAACTACTATAGCTTTATCTAGAGGACAAAGTAAGTGAGTGGTGGGTATTCCTGGCATTAGAGGAGGTTGCAGTGTATGAGTCCAGAGTTTGTGAGGATATATACATGTGAGATATATATTACTAAGTTGGGAGCATATAAATGTTGATGTAATTTATGTGTAGTTGGGAGAAAGGTTAGAAGGCCATACAATAGTTTCTTAAGTTCTAAACATAGGTTCTATATCATCCACTCAGAACTTCAACAAATATCCAAACCTGGGTTGGGAGAAGGTAAAGTTCCTGTAATTCTTACCATTTAAACTCGGTCCCCCTTCAGGAGAAACTTACTAAACCAATCATTGTTTCTAAACAGTGGTTTGTGCAAGCAGAAGCTAAAAAGCAATCAATGGGTCAATAAAATATGTGCACGAAAATCGACATTTATTTGCTTGGGGCCAGTAAACTTAATAAGGGTGTAAGACAAAATTTGGGAGACACAAACAAACAAGCACATCCTGCAAAGACAGGTATTGGAAGGAGAGCCCTTACCTATCCCATAAGAGGATTTGCACAGTGCTTCCCAGTTCCTGGCCTCTTGCAGATGACATCATCTCAATGTCCCCTCACCACAACCATGCAGAGTGGTATCTCAAATTTCCAGATGGTAAATCTGAGCTTGGACATTTTCTATTGCTTTATTTGAGGATTCACAATTACAGAATGCTGGTGGGCTCTGTGCTCTTTCCACTATTTTATCCATGACAAGAAAACTGGGCTTACCTGATTAATATGTACACCACAGAGTAAAAACATACCCCCTCAAACTTTGTTTTGAAAAAGACAGTATATTGCTAAGAGTTAAAAGGCATTCTGTGAACAGAGCCATGCCCCACTATCTGAAAGTAGAGCATTCCTATGAAATCTGTGGTAAGCCAAAAGGCATAAAACGAAGAAGCAATTACCATTAATTTATATGAAAAATTTTTGAGCATTCCCAGACTCCCAAAATAATCTACCAAATTATACCAAATAACACATAAAACCTAAATTAACTTTATTATGTCCAGTTTTACACTAAGTGTAACACCCTTACAAGCTCTTTTAGGCATTTCTGATACCCTAGGCCACATCTTCCTAATATAGGCACAAAATAAATGGAGATAAAGCACAGATACTCACAGATACAGTTCAAAGCTATGAGGGCTTGATGCTGAGATGCTGAGTTCCTAGGGAAGGAGCTAGGAGGGAGCACTCTTGCTGCTCAGGGTCTGCACTGCCTCTATAATGGCTGCTACAGAACAAGCACTGAGCTCTATTTTTGTTTTGCCTTGTTTTGTAAAAGCAAAAACCCTCTTCTGATTTCTTTTGGTTAGCAAAAACAGGTACTAATATAGATCTTTTGTAAAAGCAAAGTGACATAAAGCGAACTTTCAAAAAGTGGGGGATACCTGAACTTAGTATTGAAACTGTTAAGGAGCTTCCCTCTAAGAGGCAAATGGTAATCCATGATGGGTGAGAGGGAAATTCTTTTGATTTTTAAAATGACTAAGATCGACTGGAAGAGTAATGAGAATTCACATGTATACAGCACTTTGCGATTGATAAAATGCTTTTACTTGAGTTATTGAATCCTCTCAGATACCCTTCAAAAGGCAGCTAACTCAATTCTGCTCTATAAAAGACACTTTGAACTTCAATTTCTTTAAGTGGCTTGCCCATATATTTTTATTTCTAAGACATTATCAAGCCATTTGAAATTTTTCCCCTCAAAAATGATCGTCAGTGTTTGTTTTGCATTTTTGAGATTTTGCAGCATCTTGGGGGTAAAATATTTGTCAGAAAAATGCATGTCTAATGCTATTATGTAAAGCTATGAGAAACAGCATTCTATATGGAAAATTTTTCTTAGTGACCATATTTATAGGTATATAGCTATTTCATAAAATGGGACACACGTGTATTCCTCTTGGTCCAAGCTGCCACATTCTGGTAGCAATCAATATTTGTGATGCTACAGATG